AAGTAGTTAACGATAACAAAATTTTGATTAGTTTTCGCGCAATGACAAAAGCTCTTTTGCTAAATTTTTTCTTTATTTACAACGCATATATATTTTTTCTTCCTATATATAATATGTATACTTAACTAGTCTAATCAGTTTATTGTAACAAGTTACCAAAAAATATCTACACGTAAAAATATATAGATATATACATATAAATACGCAATTATATTCGCGCGCGCGTGCATGAGTGTCACGGTTGTAATATATATATATATAATATATTTATATATACACATATAATAGAGTATATATATATATATGTATATATATACATATATATATATATACTCTATTATATGTGTATATATAAATATATTATATATATATATATTACAACCGTGACACTCATGCACGCGCGCGCGAATATAATTGCGTATTTATATGTATATATCTATATATTTTTACGTGTAGATATTTTTTGGTAACTTGTTACAATAAACTGATTAGACTAGTTAAGTATACATATTATATATAGGAAGAAAAAATATATATGCGTTGTAAATAAAGAAAAAATTTAGCAAAAGAGCTTTTGTCATTGCGCGAAAACTAATCAAAATTTTGTTATCGTTAAATACATGTATACAACAACATTCTTCGATTATTCGTGGGATGTAATTACATTTCCGTGTACTAAATTCTTTGAAAATTGTATGAATGATGATGCAACTTGATTTCTATTATCCGTACATTGTACATAAATCTTTATGAAAACATCGATATTATTACAATGAAAAGCAAGTTGTATTTGGCTTCACTTTATTTGTACTTCTGTATTTATAAAATATTTATTACAATTTTCATATGTTGACGTAATAAAGTTTTAAGTATACTTTACTCGGATCATCCCTGTATGTTCTTTACCTTTTAAATCGATATAAATTATAAATTCTTTTTTATATTTTAAATATAATTTTTGATGTTGACTTCTCGAGACATATATACAATTATTGTATCGAAAATTATATAGGCTTGTTTAATCGATACCTTTTGTTTCGGTTTCAAATTAATCTTTTGACAGATGTCTTTCTTTGCGTAAAGCTTATTTAATCATCTAAATCGTAAATCTACAAGTGAAACAATTCCAAAGCAAAATTCTGCAAGCAACACAGTAATTTTTATATTGTTAAAAACGCGAAACAAAAATATAATTTAATATCATTTTCATTCATTAATTTTTATCATGGGTTAAGTAAGTACTAACTTATGTAAATTATTAAAATACTAAATTTTATTGAATTATAAAAAATATATATGCCTGTAAATACATATATCTCTGTAAATTTTTTAAATTAATTTCTTTATTAATTTTTTATAGACAAATACGTATACATATTCGGATTATTTGACATCTCAAGAAAAATGTCGAAAAGTAAATTAGAATCACTAAAATCAGAAGGTATGAAGAATTGTGGTAGTATCGGCGAGGGTGATGCAGGACAAATCAAAGGAAAAAAATTTTCACTTCGTAATAATATTAGAAAACTATGGCATCGCTTTCGAGTTCTAACACCGTGTTCATTTATTCTTCGAGGTTCTCGTGCGATGAGTGATCGCCGGTTCAAGTATAAAAGTCGAGGACGACAAGCAGCACCGTGCGCGATAGTGGCCATCGTTTATGGTCGCCTGTTTGAACCCAAAGAGTGGACGAGCAATCATATTGATCAAGTACTCGAATATGGTGACAACTTGTTCCGTATAAGCTTGAGGAGGAACAAGTTAAAAGACGATGAATATATGAGGACCAATCTTATACACAATGAATTCGATATTGGTTTCTATAAAATTTGGGTTGATATCGAAAAAAACGGTACCCACGGCAATCTCTTTAGCGAGTCAGCTGGCTGTTCGGATTTTGCTGAAGGTCTCCAAAATTTTCTCAAAAATAACGATTCTGGAGTAATCACTGCTCAGGGTAGTTCCGTTGCTGTGTGGCGTCAGTCTGGAAATGCCGGTTTCCTTTGCTACAATCCAGCTGCATGCGATGAGACCGGTCTACATTGTCCTGGTGGCACAGCTTGCCTTATGAGGTTCAAGTACATAACTGACTTGCATGATCATTTGTTGAAGAACCTAAATTGGCGTTATGACTCTCGATATTGTATCGTCAAAGTCACCTTGTTGCGTGCTACAGAGGTAATAGCAGTAGAATAGCGATAACAATAGTATAATAATATAGTGATCTGGGAAAAAATGTTTCATATGTATAGTTGTATATAATTATGCAAGATTAAATATATATATACTATTTATTTATATCAAGATAAAAAGAATAATGTATATAAATAATATATATTTATATATAAAAAAATACTTACATAATTATACATATAAATGAAAGTAGAAATTTATAGGTCGGTCATGGAGTCGTTGACCGTTAATCCAATGTTAGTGGTCCACCTATACTT